CCATCACAAAAGGGCAGACTTACAAAACAACAGAGTCCAATTTATCTGTTAGATTTTGGACTTTCCAATATGAAATTAGTCAAATATTGAAATGATAAATGGTCTGCACTTCTCCAGCACGATTCTACCTCAGTGGTATTCAAAGCGTTTGCAAAGCAATGCTCCACCACCTGAGCCACAGCCGCCCTAAAACACATGTCCTGTTTTTAATCTGAATTGCTTCATTTAAGATTTTGGTTCAAATGAATAGAGCTGCATCATGAAACATGTCAGTGGCCAGCTTTGCACACTTTATTTAGCCAGAACGACTTCAGGCTTATTTGTGGACACACACAGGCAGCTTCAGACTCCATGGACACACAGCAGCAGGTATTATTCATACTATAACACTTTACCATACATGTGCAGTAGTTTGTATGTCTGTGGAGGGGCCTGCAAAACCCTAAGAAACACGTGAAGTATAAAAGCTCTGTCAGACAGAACGGTTTGTGTGTGTCGTCTACAGCTGTCAATGTCCATTTATAATAATGGAGTCTAATCATGGCTTAACATGGGCCTCACACGCAGAGCCTACACATCCTGCAATTTCAATTTCACACTGTCAAATGTTTCAGCCCAGAACTGTCAGAAAACTACAATATATCATTAGAGTTTCTACTTTTCAGCTGCTAAGTGCAATCCATCACCTGAGGGAAAGTCAGCGTAAGAAACTCCATAAATCCCTCATCGTCCTGTTCTGAAGCGCTTTTAGTCCCAGTTTAGGTTCCAGAGGTATTCTGAGATGCTTGATAAACACCAAGAGGTGTTATTTTGTCTATTAAACCGATATGAAATCATCAGAAACACGCTGTAACACAAACCTACAGCTCAACGGGAGCAGAAGCACATATCTTTGGATGACTGTGCAGCTGGTAAGCAGCGCTACACAACTCAGACCGGCTGAAGTCTTCGGATTTCCTACAAGAAAGTCAAGTTAAGCACTGAGGATGTTGTTTTGCACAGAGGTCAGTGGAGCTGCTTTGTTCTGCTTAGCTTGGTGTGTCAGCACTTGGCAGCTTGTCATTATTAAGAGTCTGACTTCAGTGTGATCTCTCGTCACTGAAGGCAACGTACCAGACCCTCCGCCAATTAATGTCGGCTTGGCGCATCTGTTGCCGGGGCAACACACCCGCAGAGGAAGGCGAGAAGGGGAGCTCGTTTCCGCAGGTAATCTATGGACAGGAATCAAAAAGTACAGCAAGCTGCTCCGTAATGCAGAGAGTCAGGCTGATGCTTCTGGAGGGACACCAACAGCCACACACACTCTTTCTTGATTTCTCTCGCTGACGTTATGCAAAACACATGCAGTGTGTCTCCCCATCATCCACCATCGAATCCTTTCTTTCACCGTTCACTCTATCTGCTGTCCTCATCTTTTCTTAATCTCCTTCCATCAGCTGTTAACTCCAACCGTACTCCTTCTTCCCCTGCTCCTGGAACCTCCTCATATTTCCATTCCCCTTCTCTTTATCGCCTATCCTTTCCTTCCTGCCTTTCCTCTCCCATCCTCCCTCCCTCCCCCCCAGCAGGCTGCAGATGGTGCTTAATGGACGCATAACTGAGCGTAACTGCCTTGTGAATAATTCCACAGGCACAAGGTGAGTCATAGGACAGCTCTATGTGAGGACACACACAAAGGAAGGTACACACAGACGCATCTGTAGCTACCCACACTTTATGGCCACACAATGAAATCTTGAACAAACTTGGTACCACGACTCTTTTAAGCAATTTAAGCAGCAACTTTTCCTCGATCTCCTTTATAGACCTGCTGTCGGGCTTGTTGGGGATTTGGTACAAACAGCCTGTTTCATAAAGTTTCACTTGTACTGAGACGAGGACTCTGACAAGTCGCCTCCACGAAATACTCATGACAGACGATAGTGATGCTGCACATCACATTAAACAGCAGAACCTGGGCCACCAGAACCTATCAGCCATGTCTACACGCCCCAAACACACCTCACACACCAACTACATGAATTATCACACATGGACATGGACATAGCGCCACCCAGTCAACCCACTCGCCACATTTCTTTGGTACTTTATGCTAAACGCTCCAACAGCCCTCAGACGGAACCAGACGGTCCACAGAGACCAGACATGTCCATCAAAGCTCTCTGAGATCAAAGCATCAGCGAGAAACAACCCAAAGAACAGCACAAACCCAAACCGGAGCTGGAAAATGTCTCTTACCTTAGCTGTTCAGCAGCGAAAATTTTATTGTATCGGTAAATCCACACCGGAACCAGTTAGTACAACTTCATGTGTTACACTGAAATCATTCCGGGCGTCTTTTGGAGGCTTCGTTAGCCTCAGGGAGCTAAGGAGGGAACACTCGCTCAGCAAGCGGCTCGTCTTCAAGATGGCGTCCTGCTGATTCTGATTGGCTAGCAGTGCTGTCAATCTCATGCTGGCGGCTGTCGCTGTATTCTATTGGCTGTCACGATTCGAAGGCGGTGTCAATCACTGAAACCGACCAATGATGACGGAGATACAGCCTTGCGTCACCACAGGAGCTCCACAGCAGTCTGAGCAGCATCAGGACGCGGAACACAGACAGCGGTCTGGTTGGATGTTCAGGAAACTAAAGAGCTGCTGTGTGTGGATGTATTGAACCCCATCAGTGATATACTAGTGGAATATATAGTTTGTACATGAGAACATTCAGATGGTCACCAGTGAGCCAGAATGAGAGCTCGCCTGAACCGTCTGGACTAAAAACTCTCTGATGGTGGTGGTGGTGATTGCTGAGCATTCGGTCCGACGGGGCAGCAGTGAGCGGGCCTTTCCGCCATTAGCGGTCCACCATCAGTGGTAGTGGTGGTGGTGGTGGTGAGGGGGAGATAGTCGGAGATCAAAATTGATATCCCGTTTCCGACACAGCGAAGGAATAGTCGGCTACTCGGCTATTTGGGTCCAGCCTTAGTAGTTTATCTTGGTACTCCAGTAATTAACGTTGTATGATACCCCCAAAGAGTAGATACTGAGCAAGATAGTTATCTGTAGTTTACCTTGGTACTCCGAGTACCGACCCAGTGAAGGTGGAGACATGCGGTGGTGGTGTATTTGTGACAACGAAAAAAACAAAAAGAAAGAAATTTGAAGGAGCGGTGGCTAGGATTGTAGAGGAAACACTGCTCTCACTGTAGCTGTTTTGCCATGAAAAGTTTGTTGTAGCGGTAAATCCACACCGGAACCAGTTAGTACTACTTCATGTGTTACACTGAAATCATTCCGGGCGTCTTTTGGAGGCTCCGTTAGCCTCAGGGAGCTAAGGAGGGAACACTGCTGGTTCTGATTGGCTAACAGTGCTGTCAATCTCATGTTGGCGGCTGTCGCTGTATTCTATTGGCTGTAACGATTAGAAGGCGGTGTCAATCACTGAAACCGACCAATCATGACGGAGATACAGCCTTGCGTCATCACAGGAGCTCCACAGCAGTCTGAGCAGCATCAGGACGCGGAACACAGACAGCGGTCTGGTTGGATGTTCAGGAAACTAAAGAGCTGTTTCCTCTGTGCTGTGTGCCGTCTGCATTTACTCTGAACCAGGAACATATAAACTGATATTTACACACCTGAACACATCTTACTAGTGTTCCTTTGATTATGACACAAGAATCATTCAAACAGACCTTGTGGTTGCAGATAAACTCTGGTTATTATGGGATGTCATTTTGGAGCAGAGGCCTGAAGAATAGCTCAGGGCTGAACAGGTGACGTTTTATTCTGATGGATGTTTTTCTGTTGATCAGTGTCAAAAAAGCTCCATCTCCTCTCCTTTCATTTAATGTTGCAAAACAGTTAAAACGTGTAAACTTCTCGGGAGATGAATACTTACAGGCACCGTGTATACAGTATATTGAAGTACTGAGGACACTGTGCTGCAGTTTGATATATCACATTTAGACAACTTATTAAAAATGACTGCAGCTGTAGACGTACAGATTCACAGTGGACTCTCGCTGCCACGGCTGCTGTTCAGGCTACATTTGCATGCAAACAGGCCCACAGTGGACAAGCTCTTAAGGCTCATGAGGTTTAATTTATTAAATGGAAGACTGGGGGTTTCAGAAAGTTGTGTGTACTTCAAGGTTGTCCTGGTTAGGGTAATATAATGGAAGGTGGGAATATGCGCGAACCAGCCGTTTGAGGTGGACCTAATTTATGGCCCGACTCTCTCTTCTGTCTAACTGAGCAGCATGAGGGCAGAGAGGAATAAAACGAGGCTGGTAACATTTTACTGAAAGTGGACTCTGAGGCATAATAGGGATATCATAACCATTACTAGCAGTTATTGCTCATCATAAATCTGATACCTGCTGAATGAGTAAAACTTCACAGACACCGGCTGCTTCCATGAATTACACTGATGAGATGAACGTCTCTTAAATCCCTCATAGGTTTCACTAGTTCTATACTGAATGTAAAGAAGGACAGGGAGAGGAGCAGAAGGAGCTGAACTCATCATGCATGTGGACTCGTACTGTGGTTCATAGCAGTCCATGTAATCTGTAACTATGGTGATGTCGAAAGACTGTTGACATTCAGGAATTCCTTCAAGGTTCTTTGAGGGACTGATGGACACACTAAAAGCCTTTCATGTAACACATGCTCAAAACAAAATGTTCATGCTAAATTTCATTCCCCTGCCACATGGTAGACTGAAACCATCCCGGTATTGGCAGAGAACCAGCCTGTTAGAACAGCTGATGAGAAACACTAATCAGACTAATGAACCAACTCACGTCCAAGCAGGAAACACAGAGAAGCCAACATCGTCAGTGTGGTCATGTTCTTGTTGAAGTTACAGCTCATTTTTAAAATATAAACTTGTATTGAAGGTGACAGTGTATGGTTAATACTGACAGATAAACACTGGAGCTATCATTCACATTATAAACCTGACAAAAGAGAAAAATGAAGACTCGTGGCTGGAAACGGGAGGATGTTTTTTATCTGTGGACTTTGAGAGGGGACGAGTTATCCAGGGAGGGAAGCCGAAGGTTCTGGACCACGAAGTTCTGCAGACATTCTGTGGATGGAGCGAACACAGAAGAGCTGGTGGATGTGTTGCAGAGGGGCGGGCAGTCACCGGGGGTCCTCCCTCTCACCTCATAAGTCCACCGCATGTCTGCTGTCTGGGACACCAACAGAGACGTCAGTCATTCAGTTTAACAGAAACGTCCGTTTGAGTGTCTGTAAATAGGTCTGTGTGTAATTGCTGCATGACTTAGTGAGTGTCTCACTGGTTTTGGATTTGTACTGAGGAACAAATGGTGAATTGAAAACTAAAACTACTTGTGATTCACACATTTACTTCTCAGCATATGTGTAGAATTATCATTGGTTCTATGAAGCATTTCAAATAGATTTGATCAACTTTATGAATATTCAAACTGAAACATTCCTGATAAGCATCTCTTAGGTGGCCTGATATAAAAAGATCTGTCTGGTGCCCTGATTGTAAACCAGCACAAAATTTTAAACATGAAGTGTCGTTTACATTACAAGCTGCACGTATCACTTTACTTCATGAGCAGAGCGACTGGAAGTCATCATGAGGTAATGAGGTTACTGGCAGATACACAAAAACAGTCATTCATAAAACTCATGAGGAGTTAGCTACTCAGCAGCTGGGTTCAACGAGAGCTACTCACAGAGAAAGCCGTCCTATAAAGAGGAAATAAAGACCTCCAGTCAGTGATCGCTAGAAACCAGAAAACAGGCGACATGAATAAAAACCTGGATGGCCAGTCTTGCTCTGTGCCTCTTGCAGTTCATGGTGGGTGTGAAGGACACGGTCAAGAGTAATCCAGTGGAATCAACAGGAGGTAAAATCCCTGTGACTGGATTCACGGTGAACTCACTGCTGCTGCCCGGCAGGAACGCTGCTGTGAACGCCGTGGGCCTCCTGGAACCAACATTTCAAATGTATTATTTGCAAAAAATATACATAGAAGGCCAGCGGATGAACAAATGAATGAATATTTCTGAATGTTTCTACTGCAGGAACCTTTCCAAGGACTCAACAATCACATCTGGTGTTTTTACCAAATCTGTGGCACCAGGGACTAACTTTAGATCCTCTACTGTAAGTCCCAGAGGCAGAAATGTTCCTGCTCAGCGTGGATTCTTCCAGTCGCTCCTTACTGAGGTTCAGCCTTCACTGTGGGATGTTGCTGTGGTGCTTACTGGTGTCAGTCTGAATGGTTCTCCACATGCAGTGGAAATACAAACAGTTCCAAGTTCCTGACTTTAAATCCTTTGGTTCCACTGTCCAAAGCAATTTTATTTTTAAAAAACAAAGCTTTAATTTGCCAAAAAAAAAGCCCCTGTGCTAATTGCACAAAGAAAACACTTGGAATAAAATGTTCTAAAATTCCAACCTTATTTTCAGCCTCTGAACATCTCATGCATCTCTTCACTGCACTCATTGAAACACTGCATGGTAGTAAATACAAAGACAGCAGGATGGCTCTGGGTTTCCTCTTATTGTGTGTAAAACCTGGAATTCAAAGCCACTGCTGATGCTGAATCTATAATCACACGGATGACTCTCATCTTCTCTTCACTGCAGATGTGGTCGACACAAACAGGAACGTGCAAAATGTACGTTTGGCTCCTTGTTTATTTCCTAAGTTAAAAAAAGGATTTCATTCGGCTACACGTCCTGTTAGCGGGTCGTAGGATGGAGTTTGTGCTGATTCATGAGAAGATGAACAGAATGAGAGCAAGCTAGACAAATTGAAGACAGCTGAACAGGAACACAGACACACACCTGATGGTGCTGGTGAGACGGAAGCCCACGGCTGAAGTCACGCCCAGCGTCGTGGTTTCAGTGAGGATGACGTCATCCACCTGAGGCTTGGTTGCAATGAGAGTGATGGGGAACTCCCAGAGCTGGCCAGACGCAGACCGCACCGCGAGGACCCCCGTACACCTGAACACACACAACAAAACACAACACAAACTGTCTCACACACTGAATTTGTAGCTTTCATGTGACACGATGCGTCCTCTTACTGAGCGGGACAATACTTGAAGCTATGAGAAGCAGCACGATGTCAAAGTACAGTCTGGAACACATGATATGGACAAAAAAAAGCCTCCTCATTAAAATGCCCATAAGGTGTTCTTAATAGGCTAGAAGACACATGGGGAGTGAAAAAAGCAGTCAGTGTGCTGATGAGTCTAAAAACGTGACTCCAGGGTTTCATACACAACAAACGTCTGATCCTGTCAACCTGCAAGTCACACAATTCTCAGTGAAGTTATATCAACAATTTCCCTGAGCTTTGCACCAAAGGGATCAATAAAGTTCTATTCTGCTCTGTTCTATTCTTCTCTATCAATTCATTCAAAACCTAAAATGTCAAATAAGTGATGGTAGGACGACTCACACATCGCCGTCCCTTTGGCCACACCAGCTCTGCAGGAGGACTATCAGTGGATCTGGTCTCCAGAGAGCAAACCAGCTGATTGTACTGATGACTGATTCTCTCTGGCTCACAGACGGATATCTCTGATTTAGAGGCTGCACTCCACTTGCCTGTTTTTTGTTAGATTTATTTCCAAATCATTCTTCCAGTCTAATTTATCTTGAAAATAGCAGTTTGAGCATTTTGATTTATCTTGACAAACAGGATCCACTAAAGCGGTCTTTAATATTCTCGCTTTCAGCTCATGATCCTCGGCCTCCTCGTCTAACAGCTCCTGGCAGAGGAATAGCATGTAGATAATGGAAGAGCCTATTAGCGCCGCCACACCCCCCGTCATTTCCTCACGGAGGAGTCATTAGCTCACGGCGGTATTTATTCTACCGTGGCACGCCTCATTAATGGACTCTATAGATGAAGACAGGAGCTGATAAATGAATGCAGTTTTCACTCAGCAGGATGTCACATGCAATGTACAGTAGAGGAAAGGTAAACATCGTCCTGCATAGTGCCACGACACACACAGTAGAATAAGTGTAGAGAGGTGGCTCCAGTGTTCATCTCAAGCAGGAAGGACAGAGTTTTTGACTTCTATTGAGCTATTTAATAAAATGATGCACATGGTGCCGGTGGATCCTCCTGTTCCTCTGACTAACTGCTGATACTTTAAAAATATGCAGCAATGCAGCAGCAAAGTCTGGCAACAAAAAGACGTGTTATGAAGATGAAAACACACTTGGCCTGCTGGTTAGGCCGACCCGTCCAGGGTGTCCCCTGCCTTCACCCTGAGTCAGCTGGGATAGACTCCGCCCCCCATGACCCCAGTGAGGATGAAGGTGTAGAGATGATGGATGGATGGATGCTGGTTAGACCTCAAGGATTCACATCCTGTGTTTTGGTGAGTCAGTGCATGCAAACATGGCTTCTATGCATCTGCGAGCACATTTCATAGAGCTCGCTTAAGCTGCTATGGAGACGTGTGAAAATGGGTCAGCAAGAAAGTTCCTCAGTGGCACCAACTGCTGAGGCCAAAGTGGGGAGCATTTCTAGGCTCATAGCAGCAACACCGTATGAGCTGTAGGACAGTCTTCAGATGGGCAACAACTCATGATTAAAGCCCAAAACGATGCCACATGAATCGAACCTGAAGGACCTCGATGACATGAACATATGAATGAATGCAAACTGCAGAATCTGTACTAGACTCAAGCTGACGTCTCTTCCTTTTCATCTGTATGATCGGTTGCAGGTCTGTTCTGTCCAGGCAGCATGTCAGCCAGCGTTCCTGAGCCCACACCTCTCTGACCTTTGGTAAAGGCTGTCTGTGGCCCGTTCTCTGTCCAGAACCTGTGATGTGACATTCACACATGTCTCACCATGACTGGACGGCGATGCAGAGTTGAGACGAGCAGGACTTACAGCCTCCCGCTCGCTCTCTATCTACTCCTCACACAACATTAAACGTATGTGACACTTTTAATGTGAACAATCAAGCTCCACTGTGAGCGTCTCATAAAAACGCTGTCTGAAGAGGTTGTTATATAACGTCTCAGTGTGTCTGACACCCCGACCCAGCGCCCAGAGACCGGAGTTAAGTCCCACATTCATGTACTTAATGTCACAGGACCTCCAGTACAATGCTTGCATGATATTTGACACCCGGTATGTGAGATGAAGCTCAAATCATCAAAGCTTTGCAAGAGGATCGTGTTAATTTGTCTGTGAAAACTATTGACAGTGTCAGTGCTGTGTGTGTGTGTGTGTGTGTGTGTGTGTGTGTGTGTGTGTGTGTGTGTGTGTGTGTGTGTGGACAGCTGAGCAGAAGGCTGGCTCACATGTTCCCTCCATAGAGACACCTCTTACACCTCCACTCCTCACAAGACCATCAGCTCTGTTGACCAGCTCAGGCCGCTGAGCACTACCTGCTGCTGTGGAGTAGCCGGTGTGTTTGCCCCGCCTCCAGTTTTCTCTGACCGGTCTCCTACCTTGTCCTCTTCCTGCCTCCCTCCGATCACTTCAGATTACCCTCCAGCTGATCAGCCGCCACTCCGCCGTGCACCAACGCCAACAACACGCCACTACAGATCACCAACCTCCTCCTGCCATCCACAAACTCCAGTTAAACAAATTATTCCCGCTTCTGCAGACTCTGATTGTCTGACCTCGACTTCCTAGCAGTGTGGCCACTAAACCATTCATCCTGCTGCCACAAGTACTCTGCAGCTTGTTTAGCCTGTTCCTGCGATCCTGCCCCGCAATCAGAGCCATTCTCTAAACTGGTTTATGAACTAAACTCATCTACAAACACACCAACAAAACAGCTGAGACAACCGACAGACATGACGACACTCTGAGAAGGTCGGCTGATGCTGATCAAACCCTGACAATGTAAAACAGGTGGCTGCTGCTGTCGGAGCCAATGCATCAGTTCCAGGATCACTGCACTCGATGTAAAGCTGAATAATGATGGGAAACTGTCTGATTCAGCCATTTTGGGTCTTTTGTGCTCAACACAGATAACAGGAGTTTGGTGACCAAGTGACTCATCATCTGCTCCATGAGCTGCTGCTAATCAGTGGATGTAGTTTTGTGGTAAAGCTGCAGCTAAGGGACATGGACACCCGAGCCCTTCCTGTTAACTTCACCGTACATCAGAATAACTCCTGTAACCATGGTAACTGTACATAAAGATGGCAACAGCTGTGTCCTCTAATTGCTTAGATGATTTAAAAAAAAATAAAAATGAAATAATGAGTGTAAAATGCCGCTGACTGACTATAAACTGACTGAAACTAACACACATGCCACAAATGAACACATCTAGAGGACAACAGTATTTCCCCTGTTCCTACATCTTGTATGTCGCTCTAAACACAAGACAAAACACTCATATTCGTAGGCCCTGGAGAGAGCTGGGATCTTCAAGCTCTGTGTCTGATGGATGATTTCACTGAGTCATGGAAGCCACGCTTGTCTTGACCTCAGAGAGAGGAAGAGCAGGAGGAAGGAAAATAAAAGCTCAGTGCACTTCCTGTATGTATCAGTAATGCACATCAGATGGATGGAGGACCGGCTGATAGTAGATGAATGTGCTTCACTGAGTGGTGCGGGTGGAGCATCAATAACACACCAACGATGCAGCTGTTTAGTTTGAGTGTTTGTTTGAATGGTGGCAGAAGAAATGGCCCCTTTATGTTCATTCACATATTCTTTGTTTTATTATTTGTACTTTTTGCAACTTAATAAAAGTGAATATAAAAATAATAACGGGGCCTTATCAGTACTACCCCCTCATTCTTCTCATCATGAAACTCATCTATAACGTCATCTATAACTGGGTTCTAAAAGTTCACAAACAAAGACGAGACTTGTTGTGGCTCGTTTACTTTCTACCTGCTCACAGCTTGTATGTCCAATTTCTAAGCATTTAAATGAATGAATGATGTCATGAAAGCTGCTGTGGTGACGTCCAGCCTGCACCACAAGGGACCTGCATCTGAAGACAACAACGTACAGATGTTGTCCTGCAGGGAGGACAGATGTTTCAGAGAGGGCTGAAAGAAGCCGTCTGTGTCCGACTGGAAAGAGCATCCCTCAGCAGAGGTGGAGGTCTGAGGCATCACCTCTCACCGGTTTACAGCTCAGTCCTAAGACCTCCCCCCAGGAAGATGAACCCACATCCACACCTAGACACAGAGACCCTAACGAACCCCACTGTGTCAGGGGGAGCACTAACGACTCACATAACGAGGGGGAGGAGCAACAAACCCCCACCTGAAACCCAAACTCAGGTGTTAATGTCTGCTTCAGGATATCAGGATGTGGAACTCCCAACCAGTCAGTCAGAGCTGATGAAGCCTCTTGGATGGAGGTGGAACGTCTTCAAGGAACTCAAGCAGGTCCAGTTGCTACGATTGATCCATGAGAAGAACCATGACCTGGAGGACTGAGAGTCTTCACAGACTTGATTAGAAATGCATCAGAAGAATTCCTTCTTGTTTAAAATCTAAAAATAAACCAAATGTGTTTTCAGGTTCCACCAAAATGAGCGTGTTGTCTGTGGGGCTCTGACCCGACATGACAAACAGTGGGACACCGCAGGCAGCTAATGAGCGGGCCGCCTCTGGCCTTTAAGAGAACACGGCAGCATTTAGCCGCAAACATTAAGACTCAGCACATGTAGACAGTCATAAATGGATGCAGAGGACATACCCACCTGAGAGAGAGAGAGGGAGGATGGGAGGAAAGGTAAAGGAGAGAGAAGAGACTGTGGAGAGGAGAAGACCAGATGAGATAAATGAATGCAGTGTTTAGCCACAGCGTTCAGTGCAGGTGTGTTATCTGTGCTTTACACAGCAGAGGGAGAAAAGGATTGTGTTTGACTGCCTCCTTCTAGCTGTGTGTTTGGTGTGTGTTGTTCTTCTGTCTTATTATTAGCATACTTTTGTTTTTTTCCATCACAGAAGAGGTGTGCCCATTTGTTTCTCTGAGTGTGCATTTAAACTCTGAGGCATTGGCGTTGCTCTCACTGCACATCTGCATACGTGTTGGTTCAGTTCTCTCATAACGAGCATTTGTGCACATTTACATCTTTCTGTATGTCCCAGTATGCGCAAACGTTTGTGTGTTTTGGCTTTTAATGTGCTTTGAGGTTTACTGCTTTTTCTTGAGTGCGATGTTTGTTTGCTTTAACTTCTGCTCTTCCTCTTATTATCTGAACATCTGAGTGTGTATTTCCCTTTGCTGTGTACCGTCTCCATGCTGGTTGAGCTGGTGTGTTGGTGCATGCGTGTACGACAGTAACCTGCATGTCCTGAGGGGAGTGTAGACGAGATGAAGGGTGAGTGTTATGATGCCATTCTCAGGATCCCTCCTAGCTGCCTCCACGGAGATGGAAATGCAGCCCTCCACCTCAGGGTGCTCCTCTTCACTGTGTGAACGCACCTCACACAGGAAGTCTTCTGTCAGCATCCATGGACCTGTCCAAACATAAGAAGCAGGAAGAATGTGATTGAGCAGTTTTGCTCCTTTTTTGAATTAGGTTTGGTTTACTCCTGTTCTGTTGTCTCCACCAGCTTAGTTTTCCCATTTAATATTGTTTCATATTCATTTCTTTTGTGGAATAAACCCCTTCTGTCAACTCTACCTGTCTCAGCCTGCTCCTCTGGCTGCGTATTGGCAGTTTTAAAAAATTAACAAGTGGCGTAAAACGGAAAAAAAAAAAACCTGCAGAGGAGCTGTGTGACATCAAAATATCCTATCATTGAACTCAACAATGCCTTCACCTCAACTGCCCTGCACTCTGCTCATGTTTATTCACAGCACAATGCAGTTTCAGCTCTGGACACGACACCATCATCACGGCATTCCAACAGTGTGGTAGACACATATCAGAGAGGTGGAGCATGTTGGTGCAAACAGGCAGCGACCATCAGCCAGTCACCTGCTGAGCTGCATTACACAGATCCTGGTGTACTCATCTCATCAATACAGGCACTAGATATCAGTTTTAACAATATAATAGTAAATTATATAACACTTAGGCCATTATTGGGGTGTTTCGAAATATATACCAGTGTTTTCTCCAGGATGCTTCCAGCAGGGGGCAGCAGGCTCTCCGGGAGCCGTGGTATCATAAACAAATGACTTCTACAACCTATTTATTGAATGTCCAGCTGACAATGGCTGTTTAAAGGCTGAATGTAAATTAAAACATAAAATAGCATGTAATTAAATAAATAAAAAGTAAAATCATAAATAGTAATGTCTTGATGGGGCTGTAGAATCAGTGGCAAAGTTTGCAGCCAGGCTCAGAACCATGAATGTTTCTGGGTTTTCTATAGAAGAGCTCTGAGGCTCTGTTGGAGGGAAATTGTGTGAGAGGCTCAGCAGCATCCAGGCTGCAGCTGATCCCCTGCAGCCTGCTTCTCTGCTCAGTCTTCACCTACAAATAGAAACCATCATCAGATGGTGTCTCTCAGCTTCCTCCACCCTAATCATTCTAAATGGTTTCTAGTTGGTGTCTGATGATGTTTTATTAAATGTCTGCTGCTGTCCACGGCTCCTCCCTGTCTGATGTTACTGGTCTGATACGTTCAACATTAACGTTACATCATTTACACTCACATCACATCTGATCACAGTGTCAACACTATTTCTACCTGAACATCATCATTTATGAGTCAGTAAAAGGCTAATGCTACCTGGCTAGCGTCATCTCCATCAGGTGTCTTTCTCTTCTCAGAGAAATATGTGAACAGGTTCATCTGAAGATGCAGTCAGCAGGTCCATCATGGCGTCTACATGTTAGCTTCATGCTATCAGTTACTTTACTCACGTTAGCCACACTGAGTTGGCCCCGGGCCCAATTAACTTAACATAACGTAACGTTAGCTGGCCATCAATGTTTAGCTAATGTCTATTTAACTTGTACAATCTATTCTGAGTTATCTTAAGCTAATAAGTCTACCTTTCCTCCGGTGAGTCGCTGCCCTGTTCTCCAGGACGACCCTCCTCTGACTGACCCGGAGCCTGGTGCTGGACGGGACGTCAAGTTCAAGGCCGCTTTTGTGAGGAAATAACGTCGCATTTGCTTCCCAAAGAGTAGAGACTGAGCAAGATAGTTATCTGTAGTTTACCGTAGTAGTCGCGAGTAAATGACGTCATATTAACCCGCCAAAGAGTAGAGACTGAGTAAGATAGTTATCTGTACCTTAGTACTCGCGACTACCGACCCAGTGCAGGACTCTGCTGTGAAGGTGGAGACATGCGGCGGTGGTGTATTTGTGACAAAAAATAAAATAAAAATCAAAAAATCAAAAATGCAAAAACAAAAATGGAAGGAGCTGCGGCTAGGATTTAGAAACACTGTATACCTTTCTAAGCTTCTGGAGCTACAAATACTTCACTAGAAGAATAGAAAATAACTTTATTGATCCCTTTGGTGCAAACCTCAGGGAAATTGTTGAAATGAAATCTTTTCACCTCCATTTGGAAGACTTGAAAGTGATACCCATGAAAGTTTTTGGGTTTTTTTTCAGACTCTTTGGACTTAACAAAACTGGAAAAATCACCTTCCTGGCCTCTCTGGTCCTGATTTCCTGGCAAACATCCAGTGAGCAGTACATCCACCTTCTTTTGCAGCTGGCAGCCTGCTTCACACTCGACCACGGCAAGCGAAGACTTCTCAGCAGGAGCTTCTGTGGCCCTCCCACAGAGAGGGTAAATCCAGCAGATGGTCGAAAGTTCCTGCTCTGGACTAAAATATTCATATAGTTTATTCACATTTCAATATTCAGAATCAGGCATTGAGCTAGTACAGGACATGCAATTTGTTTTATTAACAAGTTGATCACAGGTTATCATAAAGTGTATTTTTATTGGAGACCTTAAACCTTAAACCTTAGACATTTGCATCACTTGTAAATTCAGAACCCTAAAATACAATAACTTTCCAGTAGACTGTATTGGTGGAAGCGTATAAACCTCAGTTCGCACTATTGTAACTGAAACTTATTACACTGCCACATTTTGCCGTTAATCAGTTGCATTTCTTTTTGCTTTCACTTTTCTAAATGGTAAATGGTCTGCACTTACATAGTGCTTTTCTACCTCAGTGGTACTCTAAGTGCTTTACAGTGTTTTCTCATTCACCCATTTTCACCCAACACTTGTAGCGTTGACTCAGTGATGTGATGCTTAGTAATAAGCGCTGACATTTTTGATATCATAAATTATGTGTCCTCTAAGGACCAATCATTTGATTTAGCAGGACAGCATTTGTGTTTAAAACTGTACATGAAAGCTGTTTGTACTTATTGAGTTTCACACAGCATGTCTGCCGGTGTGCTTTCCCTCTGACAGACAACCTATCCATCGTTCATCCAACCTCTCCCTTAATGCACATCGTCACAGGTAACTGCTACCGGGATGAGCAGCCATGACTGACTGATGGGTGTACAGAAAAAAGCAAGCTCAGACTTTCAACACTTGTTGCCTCGACCATTACAGGTGATTCTGTTTGTTTGCATTGACAGCCTCAGTTGAAACCTGTCTGAATGTGATGCTGGAATAACAGAAGGAAATGAGCTTTAATAAATGTCTAGTAAACCAAGCAGCAGAGCCTCAGATAATACAGCAACTTGAGACACATACACACCTAATGCTGTCTGTGCTGAAGCTGCTGTTGTTGCACAGGCTGCTGATGGGCGTCATGGTGATGCACAGCCACGCCCGCTGGAGCTCCACAGAGTCGGGCGCAAACTCTACAGGAACATCCAAAGTGTCTCTTTCACCGATCTGTATGCCTGCAGCCAAGAGGGACAAGAAGCAGAGATTAACCTTTTTTAAAGTTTTGGGGAAAAAAGAGCAACACAAAAGCCCACTCTAGACACCACAGTTTAATAAAATGAACTGCAGTTGTTCTTGTGTGGACACCTGCAAACCATTTCAAGGCTGATGTCAAGGAAACTAAAAGAAACACAGATGGACTTGCAAGAAAACAATCTTTGCTGGGATGTGGTCTTAGCTTGTTTTACCAAGTCTTCTACTGAACTGTGGTCACACCGAGCAGCTGCTTAATATTCCTACCTTTTGACCAATTGAAAAACATTTGTACACTTCTAAGTTTCTTCTTTAGCAGCCGTTTGATTTCCATGACACCAAACCCTATTACAGGCTTCCTACAGTCTGAAAACGCCAAAATATTGTGAACATTTTGCATTGTGCTTAAAAGGTCTGTATTATATACCAGCTGCTCTTTTGGTGTATTTCTGATAAAGTAGGAGTTTTGCTGTAGTCTTTAAATGCACTCGCCAGTCCTGTGGTCACAATGGGTATCAGCAAATCAATAATGCCGGCAATTTTGAGAAGTGCAACTTTAAACGCTAAAGACAAAGTCCTGAGAGGTATGAACTGTACAGTGAGCTCTGTGTTGCTCTGGCTTAGTATCAGTTAAACAACTTTCAAAGCAATGCCTAGTTTTTGGAATGGTGCATTTATCCAGTAAATGGGTTGAATATAGTTCAGAGTTGTTGCATCAGTTAATGAACCTTCAGTACGGCTAAGCGGTATGGAGAAGAGCTCCTTGCCAGCGACAGGATGGAGGTTAGGGGCTCCACTTGGGTCCTCATCTTAAACATAGAGACATACATGCACATTAGGAACATGTCTGAGTGTGTCACATGCATGCAACAAGAACAAACTGGTGCCAAAGCGCCTATGAGGCAAAGACAAGAAGAACCTGTGACCTGTGAGCTTGATGCTGAGCACGGCTGGGAGATCAGTGGGGTTTGTAAAGGGAACGGTGATGGAGGCTTTGGAGTGAATCATGGATGAGATGCTCAGAGGCTTCTCAGTCTCTGGCTGAAGGCCACGTCCACTCAACAACACACACAGTTCCTGCAACTGAAGAACAACAGAGACACATCAACACACACACAAGATGGCAGAGAGAGCAAAAGTAAGTTTGAAAAAATGAGGGAGAGAATGGAACCATCGATTACAGAATCTAATTCATGCTCGTTTAGGAAATGATCTACATATATTGTGGATAAAAAGTCACAGACAGCTAGCATGTGTCACTGTTCAATATGAACAGATATCATTGCAGCATTTTGAAGCTTCAAGTGTCACCAAATATTAGTTCTACAAGAACAAACAAATATCAATCTACAACCAGAAGATGTTAAACTTAGTATTTGCATAAAGTCTGGCAGGAACAGCTAGCTCTGTCAAAAGTGCAAAAAAATGTAAATGAATAACAAGCACCTTTAAAGCTCACTAGTCCCCAAGTTTGATCTGTTTTATTTGTTCTATACACAAACTGAAGCGTAGAAAGGACATGTGGTGGTGTTAGAGCTTGGCTGGAAGCAGTGACTGGAAGGACTAAAACAAGATGTAGAAGATAAAATGCTAATTAATGACAGTTTTCAGCTTTCATTTCCCCTGAACAAGTTGTTAAAATCATCTATACATCACTTTCAGACAGTATCAGCTTCCTCAAAGTCTTCATTAATCTAGACGATGCTTCCTCTGAGAGAAATACTGACAAACAAAGCTCTGGTTTTTCTCTTTTGATAAAAGATTTACATTTTTGCTGAGTTTGTCATTTTTGCAGCAGGATTGAACACAAACAGTTTCTTCTTTTTATAAATGTGGTATCAAACGGACACGTTCCAAGTGTCTCGTGCATTGCTTGTATACTTTTTTACCACCATTCCAGCTTCACATATTTAGTATCGTAGCAAAAATTTCACTTTTACTTTTGACTTTACGTTTGAACAATGTTTGGATGCACATCACGGGTTTGTGATGACTGACCTGATCCCATTCAAAACAGTGACGTGCTTCACGGACTCAGACAACCTTGTTGGAACTATTCTGAGAAACGGACCGTATTCTTAAAGCTCTGCCATTGGTTGGGTCGCACATCGCTTTGTTTCTGTGCTGTGATTGGTTATGAGTGCACCGACTAGCGATGTAACGTCTTGACAGTAAACGCAAATTCGATGGAACATAAAACACTCTGAGATGTGGGCATTTTATGTGAGCATAGAGAAACTTTCCACTTCCATTTTTTAAAAAATAAAATGCCACATTCTAGTTTCAGATCCAGTCTCTGTATCGTGAAGGTCAAACACACATTTTTGAGTGTTGAGGGGATTGAAAATAAAAGGTCGAGCCTGGGACAATGAAACCGAAATCAAATGAGAGCACCTGCTTAAGCCAATTTAGGCGGAAAAAGAAGCAAACTATCCCTGCACCTGTCTGTGTGTGTGTGTGTGTGTGTGGCGTGGTGTGTGTGTGTGTGTAAAGGCAGTGGCTGGTGATTTATGTAATTCGTTTTCTCTCTGTGTTTGTGTGGGTATATACACACCTCCGGGCATGTGAAAGTGATCTTTGCCTCGTGGTTTCGCTCTCCGATGGCTGAAGGACTAAAACGGACACCGAGCTGGGTGGAGGAATGAGGCTCCACAATGAGCTGGAACACACAAGAACAGGGAATAAACACATTCATGCTCAAAGAGACAAAAAGTCTTTATACTCTACTGCTAGGCAACCCACCCGCTATTAGCCAGATACACACCAAGTCTTTTCTCTCCAGCTGACAAAAGTGGCACTTGTTTGTTGTTGGATGTGTGTACTAGCCTACATGTACCTTTGATGAAATCCATAGCAAATACAATCAAATAAATCCACTGAACTACAAAGAACATCAAAATAATTATAAATCAGTTTCCCCAAGGGCAGGAGCACGACAGACTTAAAGGCATGTTGGTGACGACTGAAGATTTATTCTCCAACAATGGATGGAATACTGATGAGGCCAGAGTGTGAGTGTTTATACTGACAGTGCTTCCTGATTCCATCTCTACTGTGTAGTTTCTGGGGTTACTGTTGGTGACGTTCATGGCCAGAGCCTCAGTTGTTGGGTTAACCAGGGGAATGGTCAGCCTGGTCCATCTTAAACACACACACACACACACACACAGTTTTATTCCAAAGCCCCTAAAATAAAGATAGAAACCGCTGAACATCCAAATATAAAAAGTACAGCTGTCATGATTACACCATTAAAACTAAATTTGAAGCGTGCATTGAATAAACACTGAGAATGAATTTTCAGTGATGTAGGAGACGTGTTTCGTAGTTACACTTTTGAAATGAAGACTATCTGATATTCATCAACTCTGGACTTTCCCATGTAGAAATAGGTGAAGATGTTCTTTAGAAAGGACTATTTACAGAAATCTGAACATATCTCCAGAAGATCTTTTATCAAGGACTCAAAGTGAAAGGTTAATCCTCCACCTTGTGACATCATTGTAGTGACTTCATTGTTTCCTAATAATCTCGTATTTACAAGTACACAATCAGAGAAGTGTGGGGAACGTCTATGCACTCTTTGCTAGCCAGTAACTCTGCAGTGACACAATGTGTGTGTTGGTGAGTGTGCACATACTTGCCCAGCTGACAGCAGGCCTGTGGCAGCGTAACGACTGGGGGAGGGAGAGCATAGAGCTCCAGCTGATACCAAAACTCCCCCATCAGCTCTGACTGGAACACCACGCTGGCAGAAAACACAAACCAAACCCATGCAATACTGATTCATACTGCAGATTCACAACTCTGTGCAGATAAACCAATCGCTGGGTGTGGATCTGCACTACTTTATATTTCCAACAATGAACGGCCTCAGTTCCAGGTAAAAATGATTTTAAGATTAGTCACACGAGCACTTGATGCAGAGTGAGTCTGATTTTTTATCTCATTTCTTACAGGAGGACAGGTCAGCCTCAGCGCCGTGGGTCTCACCTGCCTGTGCTCTTCCCCACTCTGCCAGGAGAGAATGCAGCTTTGTAGGTGAACGTTTCTCGTGGGGGAACCTCGACACAGCTGGCCCCAGTCAGGTCCTCTCCTTCCAGGTACACATCCAGCGTCAGCTGCTCTCCTCCTGAGTTACTGACAGGAATCTCTATGGCAACTGAGTTCTAGGAAGAAAACATTTCAGAGCCGACATCAGATATTTTTGCTTTTTTGTTGATGTTGTGAATGTCCTTTGAATTCACTCTTTTGACTCCTAATGCAGATCAAAGAGACCGCTAAAGTGCAATGCCATTTTATTCATGTTTTTCAGTCACTACACTCTGAGCCTACCTAAATTACAAAACAAGTCATATTAAAATGCATGATTGCATTCTTGCAAGATGAAAAAAGTGGATTAAAATGAAAGAAACAAAAGTCAACACACTGGAAATTTTGCAGGGATTTCAGTGCGGCTTTTGCCAACTCAACTATTTGAACGGCACACATTTACATCACAAAGTAAGAGGCCTACGAGGGGGTAATTACAAAGGACTTGCTACCCCTTTTTAGTGCTATACAGTCAAATTGTGTTCATTCTGATTTAGTTGGGGACCCCGCTGAGGTTCTGAAATGGAAAGAAACAGCACTACTGAAAATTATGTATTTGGTCACATTCATAAGACGAATTCCTTTTCAGAGCGGCAAAAGAACGGGAGGATGGAATTAAAATGAATACAAATAACTCACGACTTGCACATTTATCACTACAGAGCGATCACTGCAGCAGAGGAAACTCTGCCTGAAGTATAAAGACTGAAAAAAGCAGCAGCCTGGTAATTCTCACAACCTTGTGATGCTCACAGGGGATCAGAGCAGAACTGTTCAGGGAGGCTGTTCTATACATTTTCACTCTGTTTAAAAAGTTAATGTCGCCAACAGATTTTTAAAGTTTTATCAAAAATCTGCAGCAATTATTTAGAACTTCAATATTTAGGTTATTAAACCCTTCCACTAAGTTTGCTGGTAACCTTCCTGGTGAAATACACTCTTGCAGCAAAAGTGTCGTCTGTTGAACCAACACTCTGAGCTCAGTAAACACTTTACTGCTGCTTTCAAGACACAAACATGTCAGTTAACCTGTATCGCAGTCTGGCTTTGTGTTCTGTGGCAAGTCAGATAAAATGTGGTTGTATTCAAGTATAACTGTGTGAAAAAAATCTAAAAGTTGGTTCCACTTAAGGGAGTTTGCAATAAACTTAGTAAATATCCCATATTGGCCAACTCACCTCAGTAGTGCACTGCACATCTATGACCTTGATGGGCGCTGCTGGCTCACAAATGATCTCTAAGGAAAAATGAACTTCGTAGTGTCCGAATACATTTCCTGAGGGACAAGTTCATACACGTATAAACATAGTATAAATACAAAGACATGTGTACACGAATTTAGCAGAACAGTCCTGTTTTGAGAAGTGATTTTGATGTCAAATATGTTTGTGAAAAGCATAACATCATAAAATTACCTTTGTCCTTATTTGCCTCTTGCTTGTCATCAGTTTCTACGAATGATACACAACCTGGAAGTGAAGGTATGGATGAAGTGTTCACATTAGTTATTGTTTATTTCAATAATGTAATTCTTCATTTATTAAGTGAGGTTCATGCTCGAGTGCCTGTGCAGAGACATACTGTAGATGTTGGCCTAAAGGCATACAAAACCAACACTGTACACATCCACCAAAACCACAGCATTTGACTGCAGGTGTTAAAGACGTGTCGCTACACCCTTGATTTCTTTAGTTTATTAGTCTCCGTGTACCTCTTTAGGCAAATGCAATAGAATATAATAAATAAAACATTCTAGCACAGCTGCATTCCACATCAAACACTAGCAAACCACACAATCTCCAAACCAAACAATATCAAACACGCAGCAGGGGGAAAAAAAATAAAATTACCTGTCTGTTTCCCTCGTTTCCAGGGTGACACAGCAAGGGTGTATGGAGCGGTGTGACCAGGTCTAATCTCCAAGGACGGGGTGCCACTCACAACAGATAGGTCTGTCACCACCTACACAAACACAGAAGACACAGAAGCATTATCACACACACAGAGTAAAGGAGAAAGGATGTTAGGGAAAAAAAATGTAGCTGTAGATGACACACACACACACACACACACACACATATATATATGCTTAACAAATGTATTAGACAAGCACCCAATGTAAGGTTTATGCCACAGCTGCCCTAAATTAACAGCATTGGTAATTGGTACCTTATGATGCTGGATGATCTTTATATACAGTCGCCCTCAGATGTTTTCACAGCCTCCCATTAGAGAAGGAAAAAAAAAAAAAGCTGTCACTGAAACTAGTTGAAATTGACAAAAGTAATAATAAATAAAGATTTAATGAAAATCATGACATTGCTTTTGAATTGTGGTTCAACAGAAATATAAAAACAACAACAACAAGCAAACCAGCCTGATGGGACCCGTAAAATAATATCTAGTTGAACAATCCTTTGAGCCAATCACTAATTCTTTTCAACCACAATTCAAAAGCAAAGTCTTATTTAATTAAATTATAATTTAGCAAATTTTTATTTATTATTACTTTTTCAGTTTCTAGTTATTTGAGTGACTTCTTTAATGGAAGGTATGATTACATTTGAGGACAACTGCATATACAGGATTATATATACAGAGCTTAACAAATTAGACAAGTCTAATAGATTTCTTAGGCACTGTGTAGATATATCTACATATATATCTAGCTTTTCATAGTGTTGATACCATAGGAAACACAGATATTGTGTCAGTAAACACCATTTTGACACAACATTCATTTTTCACCAAGCCAATGGCAGCAAACGTGTTGCCTTGAACTGTGCATGAGTGAAACTTTCTCTGCATAAACACTGTCAGTAACTAGCAGTGCATGTGACACGTGAACGCCTGTACCTTGAGAGTGAGTTTGTTCTGGCTGTAATTGGGGACATCCAGCTGAGTGTGTGTGGTCCTCCCGGCAGTGCAGTGTAATACCAGATGGTCCACAGGCAGGGGGTGCTCTCCCACTCCTCTGAGGGAAAACACGTGCTCTGTCCCGTCGCAGTCATTATGTAAGGACAGCTTGCCCTATGGGGGTAGGGATGGAGTTTAGACCACTGAACACACACAAACTGGTGTGAAGTGAGCACGCAGAGGAACGATGGCAAGCAGGTCCTGAACTGCACGCGTGTAGACACACGATCAAGTCTGCGTGTGAAGCCCAGCTCATACACTGTGTTGGAGGATGAATCATTTTAGGTGGTAAATTAGACGATGGCGTTATTTGTAAAAACCTTTTCCTAGTTGTCTCATGGTAGAAAACACACATAGCCTCATCTATTAAATGTTAATATCAAAAAACTTACGCAACATGTCTCCCAGTCTAAGACCGGCGCCCGCGAAATCAGTTTCTATGCATTGGTGGTTCAGTGGTAGAATTCTCGCCTGCCACGCGGGAGGCCCGGGTTCGATTCCCGGCCAATGCAACGAACCTTTTTTTTTTCTTCTTCTTCTTTCTCGCCTAGCTTTGTCTTCTGTTTAGCTGCTAGCAAAATAATGTTCACATATACTGTAGACACGTGTCATATGCAGCTCCAAAACGGACATAATCACAGATTTAAAAGTAAATGCAAGAAATTAATAAATGCAATTAATACAACCTGAAATAAACATCTATCTATCTATCTATCTATATTTGAACTGTTCCCACTATCTTTATGTAAAGGAAGTCGTGACATACTCATTTGTCACTGCAAGGGATCAGTTAGTCTTCTAAACTTCAGGACAACATTATAAAAAGACTTCTCAAGGAAAGACAATGGTTTCAGCTTGTAGACACTGTCTATTAAAAAAATGCAGTGGTAGATGAAACTGACCACAGAGGAAGCTTAAATTCCCAGATCCACACAGGCCAGAAAACGTGCTGCAGTTTGAGGCATTGAGATATATAATAATAATAATAATAATGGCAGTACTTGAGCTAAAAGTTCCCTGGTAAGCTGGAGTGGAGAAGAAGATGGAGCAGAGAAGAAGATGGAGCGGAGAAAGCTAATGAGAAGAAGGGCCAAATATGAGGACTTGGTAGATGATGTCTGGGGATTTTCAAAGTGGGCTTCCTCAAAACTGATCCTGAACACACACAAACTCTAGTGTGCCACGCTGTAAAGACTCCACGGTCTATCACAGAGTATAATCTAAATAGCAAGCATATGAAAACACATGTTGAAAAAGTAAGGCAGAAAGCAAGGTAGAAACCACGTCAAAGTGAGGTATTACCATGACAACGCATTGTGCAGCAGGATGAAAGGTGAGGGGGTAGCTGGCTCTCGTCCCTGCTGGCACATTTAAAACACTTGGGCCAGAGAATCCCTCACCACAAACTTCGGCTTCCATTTTCCAGTCCTGGTGCGTCTCATTGTGCTGTGAGAGACAGGAACGCACACGTATGCTCTATAGTCGGAGCTTGTCATAAATACTCTGAACAAAAGCAAAATTCTGCTAAACCTCAAAACTCAATATTCTACAACTACTACCTGAGCACCATATAAGGCACATATAGGGTGTTTCCTGCAAAACAAACCAATTACCTCATCAATCTGCAAAGATTTTTTAAAACAACATATTAGTCTTTGCATGCTACATTTTTGATTTTACTTTGACATTGTTAACGTCAAGTGTTAAGGTATTACAGTTTGTTTTTGGGAAAACAGCGTCACCATCAACATTCAAATGAATGCAGAAATGTACTCAAAACTCTAAAAGACATTAAATAGCTCCACATAGTCCTGTAAAGCTTCCACTATGTATGCCTTTTAAATTATTATATTCATATGTGTCAGCACAGAGTAATAGAGAGACAAAAAAAAACATGACAACATAATGAAAACCAGCTTTACAAAACCACAGTCATGTCATACTCCAGATTGAAAATAATAATATAATTCATATGTAAAAATGTAACGCCGGCAATTTGTAGAGCCAAAGACCCAACAGAACCAGGCTGCTCAGTTGCTTTATATTTAGGATTAAAACAGTAACATTTTGACCAACCGGTCAACATATATATATATATATTTCTTGTGTGTTTAATTCTTTATTCCTGTTCATCTTTTTAATGCTGTTTCGGTGTGGAACAGGTACACAAAGCAGTTCACTGCACGTTATACCATATATAACTGTGTTTGTGACCAACAAAGGCCTTGAATCCTTGAATCTTAAGTCAAATGTTTTTTTAAGTTACATTACGTTAGTTTCAAGGCAACGCACGCAGTTGAACCACAACTCAGGACTTTTCACTCACTCCTCACCAGCGGTATATGTTGTGTGACTGAACGGTGAGCAGGCGTACTGAAATCCAAGTGGACGGATCCTTCCTGTGTGAACAAATGAAACAGGCTCTGCTATATTAGCCATGAACCACATGAAAAAAACAAGAATGATCAAGAAATTTCATTTGTTTGTGACAGAATTTGCAGGTTTACAAAAGTCCTCTGTTTGTATCTACCTGTGAAGTGACCAGTGCCTCCAGCAGGTAGACTCTGGTGTCACACCAGGACTTGAGGACCACCTCACAGGCAAACTGCCCCACTGAGTCTGCCTGGAACCGCAATGGGATGTCCACAAAGCCACAATCTATTGAAGGGAAGTGGACAATCAAAGTGTTGAACGTTACATTGGAAAACAGCACGAGTGCAAAACTATTCAGGAATTTTAATAACAAAGAATTCACCAAGAGGACCAAGAAGTTGACCTACATTTCCAAAGGAGTGGCCGGGGACAAAATGTCCTTTTGTACAACAGTTCTATGTCAGAAAAGGGGAGGACTTAGCAATGATTCAGCAGCTTTTGGGGCAA